TCAGGCCTGGAGCCCCTGGGCACAGCGGAGGCCCCTCCTCACCCTCTCCCGCCTCAGACGGGGCCGCAGGCTTCGGGGGACCTGGACCCCCCATCTCGCGATTCCCCTTCCCCGCCCCAGCCTGGCCCCTGGAGGGGCTTCTGGTTCAAACCTTCGCGTGGCATTTTCACATTATTTAAAAAAGACAAAAACAACTTTTTGGAGGAATGCGGGGCCTCTGTGTGTTTCGGGGGGCGAAGAGGGGAGGATGCAGGGAGCGGGGGCCACCCAGGAGACGCCGCCATCCTCACCACCCAGGCGGACAGACGGGAACATCGAGGCTCAGGAGGCCTGAGACGCTTGGCTCCGCTCCCCTGCATCCCCGCTCCGAGGTCAGCGTTACTGACCAGCTACAGCCTCGGCTCACCGGCGGCCAGGAGGCACTGGTAAGGGCCAGGGAAGGTCACAGGTGGGGGCCAGAGCTGTTTCCACAAGGCGGCCTGGGGCGGGGGCCAGGCCTGGTGCGAGGGGTGCCCAGGAGTGACCTGCCAGCAACCTACGCTGACCAGCCACACCCCACCCGCCTCAGCCTGGCCCTGCCTCAGTTTACCCGTTTCTGCATGTGACCTCCCTGGCATTCCGGCCTCTGGCCTTCCCCTAACTGCATCTTTCCATGGGCCATGGGCCTTTCTCGCTTCGGTTCTGTCCCTTAGATAGATATTTATTTTTATTGATTTCAGAGAGGAAGGGAGAGGGAGAGAGAGAGAGAAACATCAATGATGAGAATCATGGATCGGCTGCCTCCTGCAAGACCCACAGGTGGGGATCAAACCCGCAACCCGGGCATGTGCCCTTGACTGGAATCGAACCTGGGACCCTCCAGTCCACAGGCCGGCGCTCTGTCCGCTGAGCCAAACCGGCCAGGGCCACTGTCTCTACTTGTTCCCCCGGCAGTGCCTCCCGAGGGCCGGCCTGTCTCCCCTGTGCCTTTCTGCCCTGTTTTTGTCTCGATGTTTTGCTTCTTGGTTCCTCCTGCCTCCGGGTGACTGTGCTTCCCTCTCTCTCTGACGGGGTCTGTGTTTTAGCTCATCTCCTGTTTCAGCCTGTTCCCCATCACCTTGGGGCCGGACTCATTTGCATATTTGAGGGATATCGTTTGGATATGAGAGGAGGGAAGGGGCCAGGAGAAGGTACTGAGCGAGGATGCTGTGGACTCAGGGCATGAGGGTCACGTTTGAGTCTGGGGGATGGAGAAAGGGGGAGAGAGGACATAGTGGGTGCCTCTCCCACTGCTGCCACCAGTAGACCTGGTGGTGCTTGAACGGACCTTGGGACATGCCTGCCGGGGCAGGGGCTGCATGGACCACGCCAGGCGTGCGGTGAGGGCCCGGACCCCTGGGCCTGGGGGAGGAGGGGTGCATCGGTTCGCTAGGCCTCCTTTAACCAAGCACCACAAGTTGGGAGGCTTAGGCCACAGACATTTATGCACTCGGTGCTGGAGGCCAGGAGTCCAGGATCAAAGTGCCAGCGGGCCTGGTGTCCTGAGGCTGAGGGGAGGGCCCGTCCCCGCTTCTCTCCAGCTTCTGGTGTCTTGCTGGCAGTCTTTGGGGTTCCTTGGAGGAGGCATCGCCCCCACCCCTGCCTTTATTTTTCCCCAGCATTCTCCCTGTGTGTCTCTGTGTTCAAAATATCCCTTGGTAGAAGGAAGGACATCAGTCATACTGGATTAGGGCCCATGTGAGTGACCTCATCACTAATTTTATCTGCAATGATGCTATTTCCAAATAAGGTCATATTCCGAGATCTTGGGGGCTAGGACTTCAACATATGGACTTTGGAGGGCCATCTATAACAAGGGGGTTGGGAGTTTGGGGTCCTGGGAGAGGAGGGAGCTGGAAGCTAGAATTCTTAGTCCTTGGAGGGACTGAGGTGGGGGGGAGTATTGAAGGGCAATTTTGAGATGACTGGAGTCTCATTTGAATGATCCGCCGACAATCCAGATTAATTTGGCTACAACAGAACCACTGATTTCCCACCACCACATAAAAAAAATCCCTCTTTGATCATCTCACTCAATGGCAATGCCGTTCACCAGATACTCAAGCCAGAATCTCAGCTGACCCAGCCCTCAGCAGGTCCTACTGGCTCCTCTTCCCAAACGACTCACAGGGGCCACTGTCCCGCCTCTGCAGCGACACCCTTCCCCTGGCTGACTGCACAGCCCCCCTCCCTCCCTCCCTCCCTCCAGCCGCTCACGTCAAACTACTCTGCAGCAGCCGGGGCCCTGCCTACAGCCTCCCCCCAAATGCACCACATCACCCCTTGGACGGCCTCCACCAACGGAGAACACATTCCAAGTGCTGGCCCCGAGTGATGAGGCCCATGCATCCCCTTCATTTCCATTCTCCCCGCCTCTCTCCCTCTCTCTCTCTCACTCTCTCTCTCTCTCTCTCTCTCTCTCTCTGTTGTTCATCCTTGCCCAAGGAATATTTTTCCCATTGATTTTCAGAGAGTGGAAGGTAGGGGGTGGGAGACAGAGAGAAACATTGATGTGAGACATCGATTGGTATGCCCCAACCCCAGCAGGGGGTGGGGAGGGGTGGGGGGGAGATTGAGCCTGCAACCGAGGGAAGTGCCTTTGACCTGAATTGAACCCGCAACCCTCCCGCCTTCAGGCTGATGCTCTAACCCCTGAGAAACCAGCTAAGGCCGTCCCTTCCTTTTCTGTCACCCTCCCCCACCATCACCACCAAACAGGCAGACTGGTCTGCTGTCAGTTACTCCAACCCACCGTGCGTTTTCTTGCCTTTGCACGTGCTGTTCCCTTTGCCTGGGATGCTCTTCCAGGGCCTCTCCTACGAGCCAGCTGCTTCCCCACTAGTCGGCACTAAGGACTCATGGAGGAGTGCAGGATCGGGTGCGAGAGTGTCGAGACCCTTAACTTACCCAAGGTTCCCATTCACCAAAACCTTCAGGGGTGGATGACTCCATTTCCGTGGAACCTTGGGGAGGAGTCAGAAAACCTATCTCCCTCAGCCCCTGGGGGTTGAAGCAGTCAGGGCCTCTTCCCAACCTGGTGGGGCACCAGGCTACGTAAAGCTGACAGCATTGTCTTGGGAAACTACAGCTCCCAGGAGACCTCGGGAATGACTCCCGGCAGTGGGCGCCCAGAGCAGCACAGCCTGCCAGGAGTTGTGGTCCGGCTCTCGCAGGAGAGGGTGACTGCTATTGCACTTAGGGGCCCTGCCCAAGGGAGAGGCAGGGGGGGTGGGGGGTGGGACCCCCCCACATCAGGAGCAATCTGTTAGGGGTTCAACGTCCCGGAGGATGCAGGTGCGGGAGGAACTGCCTTCCGCGGGGCAGTCAGTCCAGGGACCTGCCAGAGCTGTGGTTCTTGGAGTCTCCTCAGCTGCACATCCGGGCACAGGAGTGACGTGGGGTCTCCCAATTTGCCACACCACCTCTTTGCTCCCAGGGGACACCATGCAAGCCTGGAGCTCGAGGGCACAGGCGCACAGGCCCGGACCTGGCTCTTGGGGGCGCCCTCCAAGCCCTACACTCCAGAGGCCGTGACTCCGGGAAACAGGAAGATGTTACAGAGGCACAGGCTCTGGGCGCTATGGCTGCTGGGTGGCTGCTGGGTGTCCAACGTCCTCACAAGGAGGTTAATCCCCAGCCGAGGAACCGGT